CGTTGTCGTAATAGCGCGCATAACAAAAATCGTCAGTATCACAAGTTTGACATCACACGTTGGACATGACAATTTCACGCATAGCTATTAGCAAATCGGAGGCTGCATGTGAATACTTTTAGATAAATAATAAATACATGCACTGTAAGTCGTAAACATTCTGTTTCTCAATATTTCTTATTTAGGTCAATTTATAGTGCGCGAGAGTCAAGGCTAGAAAATCGAAGATGTGCGCGACAGATATCACAGTTGTTATAATTATTCATTTAAACTATTGAAATTTATAAATTTAGAAATATGTACTTCATATTTGTCATTCCTACTGTACCTGTTATGGGTGTCGATTTGCAAATCCCTGAAATCATTGTCTGGTGATACACCAATATCTGGTAAGTCGTTCCCATTATAGTCAATCAATTTAAGGTTAAAATCACCCTCGGTGAGATAATAGACACTTTGATTCGCTGAATCAACAGCAAAGGAACCGAAATATGATGGAACCGATACATTTTGCAAATCACTCCCATCCAAATTTGAGTTGTACAGTTTATTACCGTCTTTATAATACCAAATACGGTAGTTCAGTTCGTCGTAAGCAAGGGTCACGCTTGGTAAAGATACAAAGGCATTAGATTCTCCACCATCAATAGAAACATAGGAAATGTGAGTGACGTTTGAATAAAAAATATATTCAATTTCAGCTCCATTGTTTTCTACATTGGCAAGACATTTAAATATGTCAGCAGTGGAAACAAACAAATACAGTATAGCACGGCGTGCCCAGATTTGTGTCATAGTATTTACACTATCAGAGCAATAAATATGATTAATCTCTCTTTTGAATCACATCGAATCTCATCGATCGTTACCAAAAGATTTTCTTTTTTCTAAGGACTTCCGCTGCAACCTTATTACAGAAGAAGTATTGAACCCCAGTAAATTTTTTTTACGTTCTGATGTCACAAAATATTTTTTTAATTTTTCTTGTGCCATTTATTCATGTGAAAGCAACTTTATCTAACAACATTCAGGGTGGAAACCAAGAGCCGGTGTGCAACAAACTCATTCTTAGGTCCGCTACCAAACGTGTTTTGGGGGATAATAAGGTGATTAGTATGACTCGAATAACATGATCTTAAAAAATCGGAAATTGTCGCCGATAGACCTTTCCCCTTTTAGCTTTCAAGTGCGCAATGCGTGATGGTAGTTGATTATCATGGTCAATTTGTGTTGTGATTTCGCCATGTTCAGGAGCGATTTAGTTTAACAAAGAAGCAAAAGAATCGGCAAGGTTTTCTTACAAACAAAATCGCTTCTAAGCAAAGCTATATCACAACTCAAAGTTGCTTGATAATCAACTACCATCATGCATTACGCGCTTAAAAGCAAAAGGGCAAGGGTCTATTTCTTTACCATTACTTACCCAAAGTAAACAGAAAAAGGCAGAGGAACCATTGATTTCCCATTAAGAGCATCGATCAATGTAATTTCTAGAAAGATAAAAGCAACCAGAATATACATACAGTGCAAGGTAGAAAGTCTAACTCCGGGCAGACGATCTAAAATTGCTTGTGAGATCCAATCATGCCTGAATTGATCTGAGATTACTACACTTATTACTGAAATATTGAGGACCGCTTAATTGTAATGTATTAACATTATATAACCCTGATCAATATGAAAGCTCCTATCCATCGTACCACTCTGAAACTCCAATAATCCCGGAAACTAGATGGATAATTAGGGGGAGGGGTGCATATGTTACGTACTGACGGAAGACGTTATAATTATTTTAATTATTTTGCGCCATTTGTTGAGTTTAGCATAATTTAGATTCTCTTTTGCTATGAGAAAGGGTTTATGAACTGTTGAGAGAAATGCTATAGCCAGATAGATCTGAATTCAGCATAAGATGTATGAAGTATTTTCTTTTTCTTACTCAGGATAGCTTGAACGTTTAACAAACATTACGGTTTAATTCTTTGTAGCGAACCTTTCTTAACTGCCGACATAATTCGACTAAATAAGGCAAGATTGATATTGAAATGTAACTGATGTTACAACGAAAGTATATAAATAAACTGAGAGTGAAAAAAGCGTATGATGATGGCGACGATAGTAAAACTTAATGAGATATTTGGTTGGGTTTTTTCCCAAAAGCATAGCAATTTTATATTATTTGGATTTCTTTTAAAAACGCATATGTGTAAGGCATGAAAGAATGATAAGAATACCACTATAAAAGAGTCAGCAATCCATCTATTCAAGTGAAACGTTCGCGTTTCGGAAAGACGTCAAAGTGTATGATTTGCTCTCTTTAACTTCGTTAAATATTCATTTCCTTCGTATTGCTTCTTGAATTTTATTGTATTCTAGGCAAGATCACTATGATCTTGATACAATACCATGAAGATAGAATAAAATACAAAGTTGCAGACTTTTATCATGATGTCGCGATATGATCTATGTTGATTAAACATTCATGGTTGTGATATTCATGATAGACACGCACATATGGTTATTTCCACAAGATTTCACATTAAGGAAACTTGCAATAAATGAGTCAGCGATCCAGCTACTCAAGTGAAACCTGCGTGTTTCGAAAGGATGTCAGAGTGTGTGGTTTGCTCTCTTTAACTTCGTTAAATATTCATTTCCTTTGTATTGCTTCTTGAATTTTATTGTATACAAGCCAAGATCACTAAGATCTTGATACAATAACCATGAAGATAGAATAAAATCCAGATTTTATAATAATGTCGCGATATAATCTTAGTTGATTAAACATTCATGGTTGTGATATTCATGATATAGACACGCACATATGGTTATTTCCACAAGATTTCACATTAAGGAAACTACATCAGCCTGGCAAAAATTCAAGGAACTTAAGGAATTTCGCGACTCATCTCCCAATCTTTATAAAAAATCGTGTTGGAAACATTGAATATGTGTCAATGCTTCTTGAAAGCATTACGACACAGTATTTCGAGCATTTAATAAGGTTTTAATTATGACACAACAAATTTATAAAATACTTTTGGCCATTGATCTATTTATTATAATCATCTTGATTAAATATCATTGACATGAGCGTTTGGCAGACTAACGTTAAACTAACAAGTTTATATCATTTAATGCGAAAACCGGACGGTATGCCGAACTAACATGTGCCTTAGAGGATAACTGTTATACCAAAAATTGGCTTACCTTTCCAAAGTATAGAATCGTAGCCTTCTTGCGTCTGTTATGAATAGAAGTATGGTAGCAATGATTTGGAGATCAAGGTAGGGCTAGGCACCCTGTCGACTTCTTTGTACTTAATAATAATTATAGTGTTATTCTATACTCTCTGCATTTAAATGAATTCGACGCAAATCAAGGAACTAATGATACATGAATATTCTCAGACACGCTAAAAAATAAATCGATCAAGCGCAAAATGTTGGGGAAATTTCGATTATGGAGTATTTGATTATCCCAATGGGCAGAAACAGCTATATGATTAAGATATCCTGCTGATCAACTGAATAATACATTGTTATGTTAACATAGAATAGATTGAGGAATACATTGTTATGTTAACATAGAATAGATTGAGGAATACATTGTTATGTTAACATGTACTCAATTTATGGCATACACGTCTCTGTTCATTATTTAAAAACCAGAAGACACATTCCGATTCTATACAGCTCCAGAAACACGCGTGGGAATTTGGGAGAAGGAGAAATAATCAGTGGGGAAAAATTAACGATCCTTCTTTATAATACCAAAGACGGTAGTTCAGTTCGTCGTAACCAAGGGTCGCGCTTGGTAAAGTTACAAAAGCTTTAGATTCTCCACCATCAATAGAAACGTACGAAATATGAGTAGCGTGGCTTACATTTTTTCCATTTCGCTTGGTTTTTTTCAGATGTGCGAATTCAACCGAAGCGGATCTTGGATCACTTTATAGTGTGAGTTCAAAATGAATATAATAACGTGGTTAGTGCAATTCCTGTCGTGCATATTGGTCTGAAATCAAACTTTGGTTTCATTACATATTAATTGTACTTCGAACGTGCACTTTCAATGCTTCCCCCAGAAAAAGTTGTATACAAGGTATTTACCATTTACTTTAGGATATTGTCAGCTAGGGACGATCAGTAACGTGATACCAAAACACAGCACATACTGTACTCTATATAGAACAGATTAGTTATAGCGATTAATACTGTTACCTATCAGCGCCTAAGCAAGTACGTTTAACAAATGATCAACTTTTGTCTCCCCAATTTATGTCACTTTGGGAGTCGTGAGGTTGTGAAAACTTCAAATTCGACTTGCAAGTCAACAACTTGTTCAAAATTTTTTATACACATCCCGAAAAGGAATGCGAGTATTTTTCGTCGTTCGGCCTCACCACATCTTTATACTATAACATGCGGATGATGCGTCAAGACGAACTACCATTCAATTCCGTCTCAGTGCACAGACGAACTCGTGTTGACGCAGAAGAACTAGAACACGAACTATCTTTTGCTTGCCCAAGTTCTTCTAGACGGCTAAAATTCAAACATCTCATGCTTGTCCGATGCTTGCCTTCTGGTTTTGAAAAGTCCAAATAAAAATACATGAGACTAGCAAACTAAACACCATCTTTCATGATCAAGAGCAACAGAAATAATTTTACACGTAGTGTTTCTTTTCGTACTTGATGAATTTCAATACTTATTTTATAAAATTATTGAAGTTCAAAATCCGAACTAAGCGATGTTTGAAATCCAGTATGACTATCATAAATGATCATGGAATTGGCTGCCTCCACTGACGTAAATGTAGATGAATTTGGCAATAAATGTTAGAATATAACATTATATTATAGTACGCACGTTCTGATTGGTCAAGAAGCGCATTTCTATGACTGTATAGAGACACGGGACTTTTCTCGCCGAGCTTGAAAAACGAAGTAATGTAATGAGAATTTGCAATTGATTCGAATTATAATGTTTGTACAAAATCTTTAATTGAGTTGTATTATGAAGAAATAGAAGACATTGAACAAACTGGAAATATTGCCGGCTTCAGTGGTAGACGAGGGCGGCTCGGTGCACGTTAATTCAAAGTGATAAAGGTTCTAATTAATAGTGCTCAAAATTAAAAGTGATTATGATGTCTCAATGTCATGTTAATACTTATATGTTAATACTAGATGAATCAGAGTCGCTGAAATCATCGTTTTTAGGCTTGCGTTCCTTGTTTACTGAAGCATATAGTTGGACGTCTTCATAATGACATGCGTTAAGCTGCTGATTGCTTTTAGAAATCAAACTTTGATAGTTTTTATCTATGGTCTCCCTCTTAGAATTGTCAAGTTCTTCATAGACACCATCAGAAGCGTACATATTTTGAGGATCGTTGCTATATGGTACGGTGTAATGTTCTATATCCGCCTCTATTTCAGCTTCTATTTCGGCTTCCATGTCAGGTTTGTAAGCTGGGTTGTCTGTACTCGGGAAATCTTGAGTAGTTCCATTCATTGGTTTTCTTCTTGATCGATAAAAACAGTAACCCACGATTGCCATACTGATAACCAAGAGAACAACAGCTGCCACCACAAACCCAACAATAATGACTGTGTTATTTCCTGATGAAATTTCGTGATTGTTTGAACCTGGGCAAAGTATTGAAAATCACGTACCACTTTAGAATCAAAAAATTATTTCAAATGTCATATTAACCCCTTTCCATCATCTCTATAATTTTACCATGAATGCCTCAAATTGGACAGATCATGAATTAAAGTAAATTTTTTTCTGATGATAGATGAGATTTTTCTTATGCTTTTTAAAGAATTTCTGGCATATACAAGAAATTCAAAACTCTGATTTATTATTATTTACGTTGCAAACAAATTTCGAGCAAAAACCACAGTGTGCTGATTTTAATTTAATCTCAATCTTCATAATTATGCCCACATTTAGGCTTTATTTCGCGTTATTTGTTAGAGCTTACAGAGTAATTTTGTTATCTATTATTATAATACAGCATTAATTTTATAGTACGCGCGTGCTGATTGGTCGAAAAACGTGTTTCTATAACTGTATAGAAACACGGGAAATTTCCCGCCGAACTTGAAAGGCGAAGTAATGTAATAAGAATTTTTAATTGAATCGAATTATAATATTTGTACAAAATCTTTTTATTGAGTTATATGATAAAAGAAATAGAAAAAAATTCCTGAGTTTCTATACAGTAATTTGATTGGCGTGATTGGCAATATTGTGTTTGGTTATTCAAATAATATTGTGTGAACAACACAGACACTTGCGCCCCCAAATTAAATAATTTCCCGCTAAATTTTGTGACAAAAAACTTCTTTAATACTGAAATTGTAGGCGCGCGCTGAGAATTAATATTATATATTTTGTGTACCTGAACAGCTCATTCCATTGCCTTCATAGCCTCCTTTGCAAGTGCATTCATACGAACCAATGATATTGGTACAATTTGCATTTACATCGCAAGGATTTGATTGACATTCATTGATATCTATGTTGTGAGAAATGTTAAGAGAAATTATTATTATACCTTGCTTCTTTATTAACAAAGAATGGAGGGTATTAGATATTTGATTGATATTTTCTCATATCTGTCTTCATGGCCGTAGCTAGACCGCTTACTTGGGGGGGGGGGTCAAATGTGATATAACAACTGCCTAAAATAGTCAGCCTAATTGTCGACGTTTCTGACCTATCTGACCGTCAGAAAAATTAGTGTGAAAATAAATAGAGGAGAACACATGTTTTGTATAAGGGCAAAACACGTGATAAAAACGGACAAATAAAAAAAAAATTGGAACACATATTACGTTGCCAAAGAGACGCCTGATTGCATGTGGGCTAAGAATATCAATATCTTAACCTCATCAACCGTATGATAAAAAGGTGTCACCAAGTTGTCTGTGGGCTTCATCAGGGTATAAATTAGCCCTCCACACAACCAAGGCACCCTCTTATCAGCAGGTTTGATGATGTAATTTCGTAATATTACAATGAAGACACTAAGCCGAAACATGTTTGCTATTAAAAATTTAGTTGTTTACCTCAAATGTTTAGGTTTGATGACAATGTTATGATACCGAAATGGTAGCACATTATAAATAATGAAAACAAAACAGCTAGTTTAATGACCTAAGAGCAAACTTGCCTGAACATCGATTTCTATTTTCTTCATATCCACTTTCACATTTGCAAATATATGAACCATTAGTGTTCACACAGTTTGCATTTGAGCCACACTGGGACGGGGTTGTCTGGCATTCATCGATGTCTGTTGAATTGCAATAAATAAAGTTTATAAAAACTAAGTTCTGATTGCTTTTTGCATTTAACTCCTGTGTCTGAACCAGATTTGACCATACCTTCGCAGTTTCTTCCATTCCCAGCATAGCCTCTCTTGCACGTGCAGAGGTAACCTCCTGGCGTGTTTGTGCATGTTGCGTTATTATGACAATACTTTCCACAACACTCATCTAAATCTATTTTTTAAATGAAATTTCTGAAGTTTGAAGCAATTCTTAACCTGAAGAACAACGTTATTGACGAATGAAGCTAATATTTAGAATTAAAATTAATTTTCAGTTCAGGGTTAAGAGTTTAGGGGTGGGGGGGGGGACGTCGGTCGGTAATAGTACACAAGCGTCGGTGAATTTGCTCAATCTTCTTGCGATAATTTGACAAGTCGTGTCACTCATCTGTTGATCTACCGACGAAAAGGCTATATCCTTTATTTAGACACGCTTTAAGTGCAACGTGTTCGTCGGTAAAACTTGGTGTTGCTCCACCCAAGGCACGCCCCTGCCAAGAAGTTAACATAGTCAGACTTCATTTTCAAGGACATAGCGCGAAATCTGTTTGGGAGGGTCTCAATTCTGAAAACTTTGGGGGGGAGCTCCTCGCAAGCATGGAATTGACCTGATCTTGATTTTATCATGGTGTTAAGCCGGTTTTCCACCAGCGATATTTTTCGCGCGAAGCGCCTTTATTCTTTTGTATTTGGGCAATTTGTTCCAGATGGTTGCAGTTGAGAGCTCTTAAACAAAAGTAAAATGTCACTTCGCGCGAAAAATATCGCTAGTGGAAAACCGGCTTTAAAGCTAAAACCTTTCTAGAACTCGTGCTTTTACAGTTTAAACCTTCAATGTTTCCGATATAATATCAATTACCTTCAATGTTTCCGAAATATTACAATATAATATTGTATACGTCATGATAATATATAGATAAGATCAAGTTTTCGACACGCAATAATTCCCATTACTATCAAGAAGACTACCCAAGAAATGACTGGGCGGAGATAACAGCACTGCGTGTATTCACTCGCTGTATTGAAATAATAGCAGTCCCTAAGCGAAATTAGGGGCTGTTTACATGTGCCAGAGATTCAACGAAGGTGAGATGATTTTGAGGTATTGAAATGAGCAGATGTTATGATCCTGGCAGTCGTATAATCACCATAACAATTGCAAGTGCCTGTTTGGTGTCATAAAGACTTATTTAATACCTGAAAGTCATCTCATAGTAAACGGGCTCGTGTAAACAGCCCCTTACATATTACATTACCAGAAATCGGTCAAAAAATGGCTGTCATTTGTGCTCTAATTGGCATTTAAGCCACACATAATTGCCATAATCCATCCGGCAGTTCAACCATACAAAGTGTATATACAGATTTGAACACAGTCAGTTAGCGGAACGTAGAAACACGAAAGGTAAGTAATTCGATCATCAAAACGTTGTAAAACGGCTGATCTATTGATCCAGAGGTCGGCAAACAGTGGGCAACATCAAGGGTAACGGCAATTTTAGGTGTCGTATTTTGCTATATGTATTTTATGGTAAAAGTTAAAGGCCATTATTGTTGAAAGTTATATGCAAATTAGTTTATGTATGCAAATGCGATTATGCAATGCCGCACTGAATTTCTGGTGATGCAATTTTATAATTCAAGTCTATAGAAACATTTACTAGATTTCATCAAGTGAAAAAGCTTTACTCACCTTCAACAGCAGTTATTTCCTTTACTATATCGTCGAGACGAAATGACTTTTGAAATGTGGCAGTTCGCCTATCAAATATGTAAATTATTTGCCTCGTGCTATCCATTGCATAGAAATCATCTGTTCCTATCGCAATGTCTACAAAGCTTGTGTTATCGGGGTGTGATTTGATTTGTGAAGTTGAACCATTGAAATATGTTTTCATCAGAGAATAACTGTTGCTGGCTTTGGACTGACTAGTCCAATAAATCACTTTGTGGTGGGAGTCTACAACCAGATATTTTGGCGATATATTCTGGTCATAAATAACTTGCCGAGTCTTTTCATTTGGAATATACCGAATAATAGAGCGACTGCGAGCATCGGCCAAAATGAGTGATCTAAAGAAAAAGAGATCTTCATTACTTTTACAAGATTTCCGCGCAAAGCTGAATTTGTTATATAGCAGTGTCATTTTCCAGCAAAAAAGCTTCTCTACGCTGACCAATCATGCGCGTTTCTGTAAACGGTTTTCGCCGTTCACAAGAAAACAGGCTTATGCGTTAGAAAATAGCTCTTCCAGGCATGAAAGTCGATATATAAACCGAGCTTCATGTATAAATTTGACCTGACATACAAACTTACGAATTTCGCGGAGCAATTTTTAACATCTCGCGACCAAATTTGCGGATTTATTAATAAATAAAAACACTAATTCTCACACCAATCTTGTCTTACAAGTGGCACATAGACGATAAGACTGGAGTCCTTTGCGTTGATGTATCATTGAATATTCACAGCCAGTTAACATGATTTTACAGGTAAAGCACTATGTTGAAAAAGCAGCAGCAATCCTTTTCATAGAATTTTAAGCTTCCTGAAAACCAGCCTTCATTTCTGATTAAAGAAAGTTTCTTAATCGATTCATTCGTGCTTATTTAATTTACCCGTTATCAATGTCTAAGTCTTGAACGTCACCAAAAGACACGTTTAACTGAGCGGAATTTTTAGATAACAGGTCAATGCTATGGATCTTCCTGGAATGATTGGAAATATAATACACTTTTTTTGTTGCATCATCTACCGTGAAGCGTTCAATGGAAACGTTTGTCGCTAATGTTGTCGCGTTAGTTCCATCCAGTTTAACTGTGACAAGACCAGTTCCATTGTAGTAAATCAGCCTTTTCTTCATAGAATCATATCTAAGTTTTACGCCATTTACAGAAGAAATTACTCTCTTCCCGCTACCATCAGAGAATACGCCTTTAATAGCACTTGCTGTTGAATAGTATATGGCATCCACTGTACAGGAAACCGCTATTCGCAAAATACAAAAAATTATATTAGATTATTATTACCGCTATTCGCGAAATACAAACAATTATATATTAGATGATTATTATTACCACTATTTGCGAAATACTAACAATTATATTAGATTATTATTACAACTATTCGCAAAATACTAACAATTTAGATTATTAGTAAGATTATAGGCCAAGTTATAGGCCAAGATTATTTTGCTTTCCAAGGGCCGGCTGTTCGAAAGGTGGATAAAGTTATCCACTGGATAGTGACCTTTTCAACCGTCGTAAAAAAGCTTCGAAAAATGATAAAGGTACTTATATTGAATTTATAATCGTTAAGAGATATTTAACTTCAAAATTGGGAAGTTCAATCTTGGCCATGCCAAGCGGTGAGGATTTTTCGAACAACTGGCCCCAGGTAATTAAATTTGGCCCTGAATTTTTCACAGGATTTTTACTTTCAATTCTGCACAATCAGCTCCAGAGAGGTTTCTGAGTTGTACTGTGCAGTGGATGAGGCAAACAAAAGAAATCGAAATGTCTCTTTCATAATCATGAAATTATATTTTTTACAAGTTTTGATCATTTTAATATGATCATATCTTCTAAGAGGTCTAACGAAAACGCTTAAAGAATAAGTGTGGCGATAAAGTTGAAAAGATACGTCACAGTTGTTTACCATGGTAAGACTGAAACAAAAAGTCATAGGTACCTTTAACTTGAAAAACTTGCAAATTAATAACAATCAAGAGAAATAATACTCGTACACCGTACATATCTACATAAAATAGAAAATAACTATAATTTATTTCCACTTATTTTACTTCATTTCATATGAAAGAGTGAATAATGAATGATTTAATTCCATGTGTTTTCTTCTCAAGCTCTCTCATTATGGCTAAGAAAAGGTAATGTGTACTAAGGCTGCTTTTCAAGCAAAACGGCGTTACTCCATACTCCATAGGTATCGTTTCGTAGCCATATAGGAATTACGAGGTAAATGCAGTTGTGCGGTAGCACTGCAGCTATACGCGTGTTTGTCGCATATAGGGATAGTTTCCACTTTCTTGTAATGGTATTGTTACGCAAGGCTTCATAGTGATTGAGATACGCATATAAAAATAGCCATAAAAATAGAAGTAGCAAGAGCATGACAGGGATTAGTGATTAATTTTTGCCACAAGACGCCTGAGTAAATATAATTTCGGCCCATTCGCAACCATTAATCACATTTCCTTTCATGCATGACATTTCGTGGGATTGAATAAAGTAGTAAGGTAAAAATATCAATCATCCTGTCAGAACGTGCGCATCTGGATCAACAGTCGTATGTCGTTGCCAAGTTTAACTGTCATAATTGAAAATATGCATGCTCGAGGCAGCTGCGAAGCTCTTATGTCAATCAAATGTGTTTTTTATAATGCGCGGTCGAGCATTTTATGGGTTACGTCAGAGAAAGTTTAAATCGATTAAAGTAGTAGTATAAATAGTTAAGTTATAAAATTAGGTTCACAGAAACAATGTTTGATAGTTTTAATGCATGTTGATGATAAATATTTTAAGTTGTGAACATTTTTAAGTATCGATCGATTGAGCAGAAGACCAACTCGACTAGTGCGACAACGCCTTAAACAAACAAGATATGAGAGCTGGAACGAGCTTCTAAGACCAACCCACATCTCTAACTTACAACGCTGATTGGTTGGATAAGGATCAGCCCACTCTGGTTGATGACGTCTGCAAGTTTCCCTCAACCGTTACTATAAAAGGGCGTGCACAACACCCCAACCTTCAGTGGACTGACGGAGTAAAGATTAACTTATGAAACGTTAGGAAGCTCAACGACAGAACTGACGAAGAAGACAAGAACAGAAAACAACGAGATCCGAAAGGACGAATAATCAGAAGAGAAGAGAAGAACGGAGAAAGAAGAGAACATTAGTGAACTTTAGTAAAAGCTTGTAAAGATCTCCTACCTCGCGTATAGAGAAAATAAAGTCTTTATAACAGTATGATATATGAAATGATGCGGATGTAGTTTTGCTTTGGTCATTAATATTGTTCAGTGCACACACCTAGCAACAAACACGTCACAACAATAATTACGAAAACCATGCAGACTCGTGAGGACTTTTGGATAGAATTTAATTGAGCATTAATGGTTTATATGGGCCCTAGCTATACAAGTGAGTGATTCGACAAAATATTCAACCCAAAGTAATGACATTTGTGTAAAATATTTCACCCAATAACTTGAGCAGAGGATCTATAAATGAACAAACTTACTTTTATTTTGTGTTATTTTATTGCCTTGTAATTTTGCTCGAGAGTGTAGTCCTTGTGTTTAAGATGTCGGTGTCACAGTGTGATTAAGGAAGTATATAACATTTTCCGTGTTGATATACATTGTATTAACACGTTCAATTGAAAATAGGAAAAACGAGAAGTTGTGTGGGAAGAACACGCACGCACATACATTGACAAGAAACAAAGCACGATAAACGTCGGAACGAACTTCGAAACAAAGTCAGATTTCTGAACTTTTGGAAAAACATTCAATTGTTCAAACGAATATTAAAAATATCTTTTCAACAGCTAGCTGACTTTATTATTTTATTGATACACCTTAGAAAAGGAAATGTTGTGGGCGAAGCTCAGCAGCAGAGGATATTACCGTGAACTAAATAGAAAATTTTGGCCGCACGACGAACTTCGCAGTTTGCACAGGATTGAAGATTTAATATAACTATATAAGCGCGAATTCCAAAGGCAAAGTTTAAGACAAAGTGAACGTATCATGCGGTTTATTTACATTTTTGAACAATTGAACTTCTATACTTCTTATACTTCTTAAAGTACGATGTGCTTCTGAATTTTGTGATCAAACAACATTTAGGTTCGCAAGGCATCTAGATGAGTATGAACTGTATTGCTTATGTTCAGAAGCTTTATATTGAAGACTGGCACGTGCGCGGCACGCCGGAGTTAACGCCAGAACAGGCGTCTTGTTGTTTAATTGACACAGTTTAGAAAAGGAAATGCTGTGGGCGGAGCTCAACAGTGGAGGATACTACCGTGAACTAAGTATAGAATTTTTATTACGGATTCCCGAGTATTTATAAATGTCACAGTTAGCAAGTACTTTTCGACGATAGGTGCCCGTTTGAACTAAGCATTAGACAAGAAATATTTGAGATTCAATCCAACGGTTGAGAAAGAGGATGTAGCGCTAAGCCTATTTTGCTGTCTGGTCTGTTTTTGTCTACCTCCAGCGATGAGTTAAACAATACGCTTTCAATAAACAATTCCGCTTTCGAGAGGTATTAAAAACTTCTAAATCTCTCTCCTTTCATTTAATATTTAAGGACGATCACCGCTCTGTTTCCTTTAGTTGAAAACTGATGCTTTACTGAAATCGATGATTGCTATAATTATGTCCTCTGCTTTCGCTCTCATGTTTCGTCATGAAAGACATGCAGCTCTCCTTTGCTGGGATTAAATTAAACAGGATGTATGTATGGCGAGCCCTACGAGTTGAAATATCTTTAGAGGTTTAAGGGTAAAGCAATTAGTAATATTGAGGCGCAGCATACAACTAAAAACTGGAATGACTGGTACTGTAAACATATCATGGTATTAACGAGCTCGTTGTATAAAGCTCAATCAGAATAGGGTATTTCACCGAAATGTTTACGAATAGTTAACAAAATGGGTTTACTTTACCACATAGCTCGTAAAACATAGTAATATGACAGACAAAATGCAAAATAAAGTGCCTTGGTTAGCTATATCTAGACCCTATTTGATTTTGCGCCTTGAGGCAACTTGAAGACAAACAAGTCGTGAGGAAATTGATCACTTGTAATTCTAACTCAGGAAGTTCAAGCGAACAATTAAACTTGTACTTCGGCCGTATTCTTTTGGTAAATTAAACAGAATAAGGATGCAAATAGATTGTTGGCAATATAAACAGAATTATAATGAATCTGAAAAGTGACTTACCTTTGCAACCTTCGCAATCGTGTAATCATCCGACTGAACGCATGTATGAAGTGAAGAGGAGTTAAAGCTTCTTATGTATATATTGTACTCGTATTGTTAATTAGGGGGAAACCCTGCTGGTCATGGTATTATTGGTTACCCTTTACAGTCACAATACTAAAATCACCTCTGCTCCGGTTGTGTAACTTCCTGTGACTCTCAATAATACATTATGATGATTACGTAACGATCTCACAAATATATTTTGTAAATCATAACGGAGCATGATATTTTCTCCCTCCACATTGTTGAAAAGTTGATATGAAGAGAAACACTTTTGACCCGTTAAAAGTGGAAACTAAAAGCTACATGCAGTGGCATACAGAGCTAGAAATGATGGCTATTTCAAGGCCTAAGATATATACTTAGATATATTGTAACAGTGCGTGTATCCATGCATATCACAGTCAGGTAGCGAATATTAATCCAAAGAAGAGAGAAACTAAGGCGTAAATCATCTTTACATAGGTGATATTGTACTGGAATCACTTGAGTATTCTTAATATTCTAAATGTCAAAAAACTGAAGCGAAAGAAAAATTCGTCTAGAGAAAGGTAGCCTGGTGCGGCAGGGAGGATTCGAGAAAATGGCATTCGAAAGTGGTGGGTTGGGATTTTCCGCAATTTTATCTTTGTTGCGTTGCACATTTTTATCGACTGTTTCGCGTATTATTGGTCATGTTTATATTTTTTGTCAAGACAAAATTTTGTGTTGCAAGTTTCAAAAATCTACCAATCACATTGGATTCTATTTAAGCTATGCATTATGATTGGCTATAAATTTTCCTGATAAAAACTGGGATTTGCAAATGGGGACTTTGCACGATAAAAGAAAAAACGAGCAGAAGACGATGATAATTTACCAAAAATACAAAAAAGGCAGCAATATAGGAGACTATGGATTGCTAGGAGAGAACAAAAAGGCGTCTACCATCAACTTGTAAAGGAATTTGAACTGGAAAATCACACGGCATATCGCGACTTTTTCAGAGTGACGAGAATCCAATTTTTATTTCTGGTGGAAAAAGTATACGTCCTTTCATAAGTTATTTCATTTGTAGGGTCTCAAATTGTGAAAACTCTGATGGAGACGATATTGATATATAGAAATATAACATATATATTGATATATAGAAATATTGAGACATGGAGATGTGACGAGGCATCTTCGCTGGATTTTAACCCATTTTGCAGTAACAACTATTTTAATGAAGCAAGGCTTATACGTCAAGAGTTCATGGAGTGTTTTAATAATGAAGGTGTGGTCCCATGCCAATGGCGAAAATGTGATATAGATTAGACTGGACTGCATGAAGGAATATTCCACATATTATGGGTGGCATCCATAAAATTTGTACCAAATATGCTGATTGTGGTGAAGGTGTTACAAAACTGAAACACATGTAATTGTTTCAATTTACTTCCCCCATTTCTCCAGCTTTTTCTTCTTTCGCTCTTAGTGAAGGCACCATATCACTGGATTTCTCTGGCAATGGCCATTGATGTTATTGGAGGATCTACATCATCACTCCCTTTGACAAACATCATTTCATTGAAAAATTTCTACTGAGAATGTACACAGAAGCTATTCCAGTTCCAGATACCTCACTTCCTTCTTCTCGTTTTATCTCTCGATAAAAGATTGTTTTCAGTGTTTGCCATTGTTTCATGATATCATCAGGAGTACGACTGAAAAGCAAAATACCATAAATTACATTGAAGTACTAAAAGCTAGACCTGATACTTGTATTAAAAGCTATGAAGATAAAACTAGAAATTAAATAAAAATGATTAATTCTGTGAATTTCCCACCCCCAGTTCCCACCGGCTACAGCACAAAATATTAAGTGTGACAACTGAGGTAAGCCCACCAAACATTGCTAAAAAGCCATTTGCTATCACTAAAAATGTTTTAAATCCTCACCTGGAAAGTTTCTAATTAAGAATTTTTGGTTATAATCCTTGAGATTTCTGTTTTTATATGATGGAAGTTTATGATTCCACATGGTCTCATTTTCTTTAAAAAATTGAATAATGATCTCGCTTTCGTCGTCTTTCCACTCTTTTTCACCCTTACGCTTCACTTTGAGATGACGCCTCCTTGTTTCTTTTTTGTTTCTCTTGCCAATGTTGTTCGAGTGCTGTGCAGCAAACGTTTGAGTGCTTTCGAAACGACATTAAACAATTCGCAAAGTTGCTCTATTGCTCTGCTGCTTCTTGTCTCTGAGCCTTGTCCTGGTACGCCAATTTGCTTGTATTCCACAAACACGGAAGCTTCTCCAACTTTCTGTATAAATCAAACCTCTGTTCTTCAGATAATTTAGCGTTGATAGCAGAATTTTGTACGATATAACTGACTTTGAGGACATCGTCATATTCTTGTGCTTCTGTCGCTCTCAAATCGTCCGCCATCTTATCTGAAATATGTTGCGTAACATGATTATAATATTTTCCGAAAAGTAGAGCAAAGTTCCACTTTTTGCTGCACGTTTTGAAACTTGCATCACAAAATTTTGTCGCGAGAAAAAATATAAACATGACCAGTAATACGTGAATCATTCGCCATCTATGGTGGTTAGCTTGTTACGACGAAAGATCGCCTTTGCTTTTCTTAGAGCTCGCGTGGTGTGTGTTCGTGGCAGTCGAAATTAGAGAACTGCGCCGCCCCATGACATCAACTAATGACATTACTTTTTGTGAATGGAACTCGAACATTAGGGAGTCTAGTTAAGTTGTTTTTGTAAATAGTATGTAGAACTGTTATACTTAGTTTTAATCCATGATCGATTATTGTAATTTTGCCTAGTACTAATAAACGTATTTGGACAACTTATTTGATTGGATAGTTACACTAAAATACTAAATCTGACTGGCTATTATGGTGCAGAGCTTCAATCTTATTGGCTTATACATGATGTGATTAATGCTAAAAAATAGTGTGATTTGGGAGTTAATCACACTATTTTTAACCAATCAGATTGCAAGTAATACCATTGATTTCAAAATGAATATGATAAAAACATTAATATTGCGTGACCCATACCGTGCCAAAATTTCTGCTGGATGCATGCAATTGCTAAACGAAAACTAAACGATAAAACTGGAAATGTTTTAGAATGCATATTACATGAAAATGGCAATTAGTATGTATATTAGTATTGTATACCCGCGAGCGGGCGCAGAGCTCCTGCGAGTGTACTAATTCCGCTCGGAGATTAGGTACTAATTCCGCTCGAATTACACCCGGAACCCGGGAGAACATAGCGGAATCCAAAGTTGTCTAAATTCTATGTCATGGACGGTCGACGTCGGGTGGTTTTATAAGTTATGCGCATGCGACTGGTAATCTACAAACGTTCTGATTGGCTAAGACAGAAAGTTTTTATTTCAATGAGAACGTCAGCAATTTAATTGTTATTTCATAAACCTTTTTTTAAAAGCGTTTCATAAACTTTGTGCAAAATAAAACGAGAAGAAACAAGATACATAAAGCATGAAAGATAGCAAAGATGAACATATATACAGTCAAGACAAAGCCGTGTAAGAGAAATAATTCATAATCTGCAAGCTTATAACTGTTTTCAATAGGTACGTGTTTACTTGGTTTCTTTCGTATTTGCTTCACAGTAAGAACGAGCAGTATTTGTATAATTTTCAGCTTTCTATGCCGTTTATTTGTTTAATGTAAACGCATACACTTGTAAAAGGCTATTACACTTTTGCTTTAACTTTAAAAAGTGTTTTTGATCGTTTAATTTGAAGTTTGATATTAAAAATACACACTATATTAAAGTATAAAAATATTTCTACTGTTTTAGTCGTTTGAAACATCGATTTTAAACCATTACTTAATGCTGCCGTGGTATAATATAGCAAAATTGAACGGGGAATATTTACATTAGCTTTATCATTATTTTTGTGTTGAATGATGGGGAAGCATTAGCTGTAATATACTCGGGAAAAATTAGTATAATATAGTCATATATAATATAGTCATTTCATAATATTAACTTAGGTCGCGTGATGCGTGCTTATGATTCCATATTGTAATAAGGCATTATTTCGTATGCGATTTGGTCATTATCTTTGGCCAATTTGGCATACTTATCCACGTCGTTTTCATGGGGATCTCTGTCTAGCAGCTCATAACCTGGAGTAATTAAAGGCTGATAATTTCGCTCATCAGGCTCTCTCTCCCCGAGTTCTTTATAAATGTTTGGTCGGTCTTCATAGAAGCCATTATTAGTATTTGTTACGCCTGTGGGATTTCTGTTAGTTTCTTCGTCAACGTCCGTGTGACCTTCTGTGTCAGTGTCTGTGCCAACTTCGATGTTAGGTTCAAAAACTGGATTGCTAACAGAAGGCACTTCTGTGGGTTTTTTCTCGTTGTAATAAGGCATTATTTCGTATGGGATTTGGTCATTATCTTTGACTAATTTGGCATACTTATCCACGTCGTTTTCATGGGGATCTCTGTCTAGCAGCTCATAACCTGGAGTAATTAAAGGCTGATAATTTCGCTCATCAGGCTCTCTCTCCCCGAGTTCTTTATAAATTTTTGGTCGGTCCTCATAGTAGCCATCATTAGTATTTGTTACGCCTGTGGAATTTCTGTTAGTTTCTTCGTCAACGTCCGTGTGAGCTTCTGTGTCGGTGTCCGTGTCAACTTCGATGTTAGGTTCAAAAACTGGATTGCTAACAGGAGGCACTTCTGCGGGTTTTTTCTCCTTTAGTCCTTTTTTATTAACATAGCAAGCGAAGATGGCAACAGCTATGACCAAGACAACCATAGCTGCAACAACGACGCCAGCAATGACGCCAGTGTTACTCTCTGATGTGGTTTCTGCATTGGATGGACCTACGTTAACACATAAAATAATAGATATATCCACTTAAAAATCAACCACACAAGATCATCCAGATAAGGCATCGTGCTATCCTAGTTGCTTAGATTTCTATGACAGAGTATTTTACTGGGATAAATTTCATGGATCTCTCAAACTTTAGATTACCCCGACTCTAACGCAAGTATTGTAAATAGAG